TATACAAAATGACACTGAATAACAGAGTTACTTTTTGCAAAAGGGTGCGAAACGGCGGAAACTAACACTGTTTATTTTCATTTAAAAAAAAAGACGCGCGGTGCATAATCGATTATGCACCACGGTGCATAATATAATTTGCCAAATAATGGGTTTTGACGGGCCGAGCCGACAAGATAGTCTTGAAATTTTAAGATCCGTCAAATCTTTTAAACCCGCTTCAAATGACAGGCCGGTACGGTTTTGACGGGCCGAGCAGACAGGGCAACCCTGGTATGAGTAAATTACTAACATATTATATATATATATATATATATATATATATATATATATATACACACACACACACAAAACTTTATAGAAATATATGTTTATATTTATTTATACAAAATATTTATTAATAGTTAGTATATTGTTTAAATGATTTGTTATTGACTTTGTGGATTAATGCATGATGTATTTGACTATTTATTACTTTATTAGTTGTTGTTTGTTTAACAAATTACAAAGACAATAATATACGGAGTAACATTTTTATGTTAATTTAAATTTAAATTTAAAAATTTTTAATTTTGGTGGGTTCCGATCTTAGCTAGCTTTGCCAAATTGGCAGAATTTTTAGCACATCTCATAGTTTTAAGTTGATCAATTCAAACTAAGAATGTCAGTAAATCACTCTCATTGAGAGTTAAATTTATAACATTATGGTTTCAAAGTGAATAGCTTTGTTTTGTTTGTTTACTTGTTAAAGTTAATGGAGGCTTAATTATTGTGGTGTAGAATACACGTAATGATGATAAAGTGGCGACTGTATTGAAGGTAGGACAGGCAATACTCAACGTCGGCGCTGCGGTTCTGACAATTGCCAGTACTCTTGGTGCTTGCACCATCATGTGATGTAGGTGATCTGATGATGATCAAATGTTTTGAACCACTTGAAAGTTTCTGTTTAAATGCATTGTTACTAGGCTGTTTTGGGTCTTGAATTGTACTGTGATTGTGTTATATTTGGTAACTGCTGGTCAGTTGCAGATGACATATCTTCAAATCTTGTAGATTCAATTATTTGTTTGAGAAACAAATTAAATAGAGATTATAAAGAGAGATAGTCATAATTGGTATTCATCCTACTAATTCATGTATAAATTTTTGTTTTCTTGATTGTGTTTCATAAAATAGGTCTAACTCTAACTTAAAAGGTCATTAATGACATGTACAAGATCGAGATTCTCATTTTATTTACTTATTACCTTATCGATCAAATTTTCTCAATGACCCTTCAGATTTCTAGTGAGATCTGAATGAACCCCACAGTAACCCTCCAGGTTACTAGTGAAATTAAAATCTCAATCATGTGGTTAGAGCTGAGCAAAACTTTAGAGTGATTAGTGGATCAAATTCAGGACGAGATCTCCCTTTTATAGCTAGGTAAAGTAGGTTTGTTGACAGAAAAGTTTTGTGGTGTACTACTGTAGGGTGTAGCAGAGTCACCTTCTAAAGAAATTTTACTTATAAATGAATGGGGCTATTGACTTTTCTCTTCTTTGTGCATCCTATTTGGAGGGATTAGTAGTCTTAGTAGCATAATGGAAGGTGTGCATTTTTAATATGGGAAAATGTTACGATTTAGGGGGTGTCGTCAGCAGGTTTTAATTGTAAGAGATACTTTTAAGTTCTATATGAGAGACAGTTTAAAGTCTTTGAACTTCTGACTTCTCTTAAGGAATGAGAGTGTACGGTCACTTACGTCAATTAAGTTGGTTTAAGTGTAGAGTTTGTTATATTATATGATAAAAATGTTTTTTGCTTAAGATATTTTTATACTATTTTTTTTGAAGTGGATATATTAGATGTTAGCAACATTTTATATTTGTTAGGTATGTATGAATTATTTAATTAGATAAAATCATATATTATTGAAAAGATATATGTTGGGTCCTGTGCTCGGTGCCTTGATTAAGCACACATTAATAACAATGATTAGCAATATATCAATTCTTATACATGGGCCTGGGTTTGAGTTATATTTATTTATTTTGTGTTTATCTTTGTGTATGTGTTAGTTTTACTGTTGCCTTAAACTTGTTGTTTGCTTAGTTTCTTGTTGATTTTCTTTTGTTAGTGTCTAGTTTTTTTTATGATTGCATATTGCATGTCATATCTCCCAGACATTGTCTACCGCACACTATTATCACTTATTTTGCTACATTAACTTCCAATTTGGAGAAGCGTTATACTACATATACTCTCTACTTCGACGAGGTATAAATATCTAAATTCAATAGAATTTTTTCAGACCTGTTGTGAATACTAAAGTAGCTATCATGCATCCATTTTTCATGATATTATTGATATATTATGGTGAATTCTTTAGATAATTCTATTTTCACTTTTATTCCTTGTAGTAAGTAATGATAAACCATTTTTATCACGTGAGTTAACCAACCAAATTGGTGAAATTATTTTTTGGAAAAAGGATTATATGGGATATTGAACTATACACAAATAGCGTATTTTCACTGTATTAAAAATGAATATTTATTTATGATCCACATTATAATTTGTCTACACGAATGCAATTGAACCATCTAATTCAAAAAAATTGTCACCGGACAATCTAAAAGTATGTAATGTAATTAAATAATATCGATTATTACTGCTAACATGTTGATTAATTCGTTAAAAAATAATTTTAAGATTAATTTAATCTAAAAGTATGTATTTTTTTTTTTAATAACAAACAAACAAACCTCCCCCTGCCTTCATCACCCGTCGGAGATGAAGACCTATTCTTTTCTGAAGTGTATACATTAGATGTTAGCAACGTTTGATATTTGTTGACTACGTATGGATCAATTAATTTTAAAATTATCTATTGAGAAAAAAATCACATTATTTAATAATATATAATTTAAATAATTTGTGACCAATAGGTAATAAAGTTATTTTTTTTTAAACACTCATGATTTTTAAGAAAGTAGTATGTAGTTCGATCAAGTGACAACTCATTTAGATTAAACAAATAGTAACGGATGTGCTACCACAATACATAATAGTTGGCCGGTAATAAAGTTATTTATTCCCTTCACTATATCATTGTAACTAAATACAATAAAGTAATTAGAAGAATGGTGTCAATTTTGATTTACAGAAAAATTTACAATCACGATTTGAAAGAATATTATGAGCAAAACTTGTATTGTGATTTTAATAAATAAATAACCATAACAAGATAAATTAATCTAAATTATTTATAATTAACTAACTCAAATTAAGAAATTATTTTTTATTAAATTTAAATTTAAATTTTTATAATTATCAAGTTAATTGTTAAATCAATCCGTTGAAATTGTCACAAATGATGGTGTCAACTTCATGTCAGGAGATTGAAGAATGACAGACAACCTAACCTATACGACTCTTACTTCTAGGAGTTCTAGCTGCCGACCAAAGTATGAACCACCTTGTAAGTTGTAATTGTTCAAATAAATGTTTTTTTTCCCTTTAAATAAGGAAATGACAACAACTAATGAAGAGGAAATTTTTATTTATAATAGTTAACATTTTTATTATTTTACATTATAAAATTTGTTATATTAAACTGGCATTAAATGAAAATTATTTTTACTTTGGCATTAAATGAAAATCATATTTATTTTTAGTTACATAATTTTAATTAATACTCATGACATATTTGGTCCCCTAGAATAATATAACATATAAAGTATAATCCAACTATTAATTTAGACTACAGTAACTGGCTAATAATTAAGGAAAAATAATTGTAGAGGCAATTCAGTAGTAGTTGATTGAAGAACAAACTTCATCTTTAAACGTTAGATCAGATCGTCAAATCGCAGGAGGGAATATGACATACCAATCGTTTGGGACAAGAATATGACATACCAATTAAGTCTCCTTTAAGGTTGTAGTCAAGTGGTCAACCCATGGGTGGTTATGAATATTAGGTGACGGGTGTATTAAATTAAACTTATAATATATTACCTGTTATTATCATTAAACTTATAATACAACCAGTAACTATCATCCAAGTCTTTAAATAATCCTAGATCGACGACCTAGATCCAGTCAATATATATAAACACAACCTGCACAACTAATGTCCAGAGATATCTATGCATATTTAAAATTCTGGAAATTTCTATGCATATCATAAAGTCACATAGGTGTATCAGGTTGCCCGGATACAATTATAAGTATTAACATTTTAATTTATGAAAAAAAAACTCGTAATTGTTATTTAAAAATGTGTTCTGGTTGAACCTTGTTTCAGCTACTACTAACACTTTGATTTAGGAGAAAATTAGTGAAAATGCACTTTGGGTAAAATTTCTTTGACCTTGTAATCCTAGTTGGTAAAAAGTAAGGACCACAAAGGAAGTAAACCAACCTATACCCCTAGTTTGTCAATAGTTGACCAGCCCAATAGACCATTCCAAAAGAGAATCGCCTTGTGGTTATTAAACCAATTTGGTTGGGATTGCCCTATACTATTAACACTTGTACGGATAATACTTGGTACAATCTATAATACACAAGCATGTTTGTATCGGGTACAATACGATAGGGTGTCGAACTGTCGATTAAAACCCTAATTTTTTTTGGAATTATTAATTTATTTATTTATTATAAAAGACAGAGAAAGAACACAACTATAAACAAAGGTAACCATGAATTGTCAACAATGAAAACATTAGAAGTAAGATAGGTTGAATTATATTTTAGCACAAAAAGTGTATATAAAGCTCTATATAAACTCTCTGCCTCAGCTTAAGCCTTTCAAGAAAATCGATCTGATCTCCTGCCTGCAGAATCCTACTGCTAATCCTAGGAGGTAAGACCAAAACCCCTTCAACTATGCTGTCTTCTTCCTTTATTTATACTTTTAGCTAGCTAAAACAAGAAATGGATGAAATTAAAGTTGAATACTCATAATAATTCTGGAAATATACTATACTATATTGTATGTAGTATATTTGCAGGAAGCTAAGCTAAGCATGGAAGACTTGAGACTAGCTGCAAAACATTACTTTGGAGCGGGCTACGAGAAGTATAAACAAGAAGCTGATGAGAGCGGAGAATCCATGGAGGAACTCTACATTGGTATGGCTAAGATTAGCATACGTAAGTGTAGCGCATGTCGCGCTATTCTCGCAGGTTTCTACTTCTGCTGCATCGAATGTGAGTTCTACAATGGCTACAATCTCTGCCTCAACTGCTTTTACGAGGATGTAACACTCAAACACCAACATGACTCCTTCGCCGATAATCACAGTATACTCACCATGGTTAAAAATGGCAGTCGCTATCCGCCCTGTGATATTCAAAAGGTATTTTAGTATTCACAGTTTGTTTGTTTAGTTTGTTTATATTCAATAATTTGACCAATTTGGCTGGAATATAATTGATGCATTTTAGTATTTGGAAGAAGCTAATTAACAACTGATCATATATATGATGATGATTCTTCTTTCGTTGTTATATATTATTTATATATGTAGAAGCCAAAAGGAAAAGGTCTTCAACATCCCCCTCCTGTCCAAGTCCAACAAACAAAAAAATTGGTAAGACTACTTCTTTTCCCAGTAAAAGTATTACATTTTTCTTTATAAGTAACAAATACTTGTCAATATTGAAAAAATGTAATACTTTGATCTTAATATTTGTGGGACATTTTCACACAAGTGTTACCCTTTGATTATATGCATGTAGGAGAAGGGAAAAGCAAAGCAAGATTTACAAATAGTTGCAAAACCATACCGTACAAGCCCTCCTGCAGATACAATGATTCTGGTAAGGACTTAAAGGATATGATAGTTACACTAATTAACTTGTAGATTTTTAGCTGGAAAATACTATGTGTACTCTCATTTTTTACTCTTAACTTAAACTCCCACACACAAAATCTTGATGGAGACAATTGTATTGGGACCCACATGAAAAAAAAAGTAACTTATCAGCGCCACATCAGGGAGTAAGATTTGAGAGTCTAGGTAGTAAAACTCCTTTTAGCTAACAAGCTATAACCCAGAATTGTTAGTTGTTTTTTGAGGGTGATTTGTAACTTGAATTAAAAATTTTATGACCTAATAAGGAGGGGCGAGCTATGGTGGTTAATGAAGGAATGGAGAAGTTGGGTCGCATCGCGAAGGCCCACCACAAGGCCGCCTCTCGGGAAATCAAGAACGCGGCCGATGCGTTTTGCCGGAGTATGTTCCGGGAGGCCGGAAACGGGCATAGCCTAACCCAGAATGATTTCTTAGCAGTGATGAACAAGAAGGGGTATCCACAATATGCCGACAGAGATCTGTTCAGAATGCTAGCCAAGAATGGGAATCATGTGACTATGTCGGAAGCTCTGACGCTGTACTACATTGTTCTGAGTGGAAGGCCATTTTGCAGCAGCTGCGAACACTTCATACCTGACATGTTTTTCTGCTGCTCCAAATGCCCCGCCGCCAAATACGCCCTGTGTCTCGGTTGTTATGAGAACGAAGCGTATCTTCGCCATAAACGGAACAAACATGTCGGGGAAAATGACGTCTTCTTCTTGGATTACACTGTGTTGCATACCGGCTGCTTCAGCGCCACCCCGACGCCGCAAACCCCCAATCTTCAAACTGAACCCTCAAAGGCAATCGTGAAAAAGGTAATAATTAAAACATTCCTTAATTGGTCGTCCTAGGTTGTTTAATTTCTTTAATTTGTTCACCAGATGGGTTGCTGAGGCAATTCTAGCCAAAATGGTTAGACTGATCATTTGGTAACTATAAGATTATAAGTTTAACTTTCAGCAAGAGTGACTTGTAAATTTTTTTGGTTAAGTTTGAGCCGGTCATTTATAGCTTTTGGACAATTTAGGTTAGGGGATTGGCCGGTAAGTTATGGCAGACCGCCTTATAAACAACCTGGATTGAGGGTTTATTCTACAGATTTTCGTGACCAAAAAAAAATTGTTGATTGCATGAGTTTATTAATTAACATGGACATGCATTTTGGTGTGTTTGAAGCAGGATAAACGAACGGAATTAGTGACCACATTCTCAACAGTACTCACCACTTGTACGGCGGCACTGAATTTTGCCACTGCGTTTTGCACCATAATGTGATCACACAATGAAATATGTATGTGTGTGTGTAAATTAGGTGGTTACCGAACAACCGCGCCCAAATTGGTAGGAGATCGAGATCGAGTTCATTTGGTAATTATAAACTTTGAGTTTTACCCCATGAGAGTGAACTATTGGCTTTCTACATTTGAGCTAGTTAGCTATATAGACAATCTAAGCTGATTTACATTTTTCTTGTAGTTCACAGACTTCATCCAAAGTATACTTTTAAGTAGGGTTTTTTGTTTTTCAGTAAATAAAAAATTAGGTTATTATTGGTTTGCAAAATGTATTCATTTTGATTGTGGAATAAGTTTTTTTTTTTTTTTTTTTTTTTTTTTTTTCTTCCTTGTCGTCCTATTACTCAAAAATCATGTTACACACATTCAATCACTCATTTTTAGATAGTATATGTTTTTAAAATTACAAGCAGTAGTTTTCAAGATAAAGACCGTTATGTGGTGCGGCAGAAGGTTGAATAAATGCCATACTGACTCCTTTAAAAAAAAAGTTTATTGTACACAAAAATTTACAATTTAATGTTATATCTGGAAGCTAGATTGACTATTTACTTCTAAAAGGATCATAAAATGCAGAATATATATAAATTGTTATAAAATAATTCCACCAACTAATCACCCCTTTCTGAATGGAGTTTAAGTTAATTAATTTTTCTTTTAAATACTTATTTCTTTCTTTCCAACCACTCTGTCCGTTTACACTCTCCTCATCAACCACCAAATGTGTACTATAAAAATTAAACTTATTATAATACAACCAGTCATCATCGGACTCCATGGTTGACGACCAAAATCCAGTCAAATATGAAGGCGCGATTTACAACACTTTAATCTTTCATTATTATATATTGTAGACCAACAATGGAGAAATTTCTGTGTAAATTCGGAATTATTATATACATATATATATATATATATATATATATATATATATATATATACAATGAAAACTTGAAAACCCTCTGCTTGATCACCTTAACTAAGCCTTTCAAGAAAATCTCCGATCGATCCCCGCCGGCCACTCTCCTGCTAAGAGATATGGAAGATTTGAGAGAAGCAGCACGATATTACTTGGAAAGTGGCTCTGAGGAGTATAAGCAGCGGGCACGCAGAGCTATTGCCGGCGGAGAATCCCTCGAGGAATTCTACGTACGAGAGACGAAGAGACGCATACGTAGGTGCGATGTTTGCGCGAAGCTTCTGGTTGGTTTCTACTTTTGTTGCACCAAATGTGAGTTATACAAGGGGTGTAACTACAACCTCTGCGTCAAGTGTTTCTATGGAAGAACATTCCAACATGATCATGACTCCTTTGCTGACAACCATAGTGTACTAACGATGCATAACGAGGGCCGTGGGGAACCCACTTGTGTTATTGAAAAGGTATTTTCATATTCAACAATGATTTAAAGATTAGTGTTTTTTTTTTTTTTTTTTTCCTGACTGACCTAGAGAAATTCACAGTTAGTATTTAAGGATGTGGTTCAAACTAAAAATTTTCAGATTATCAAGTCAATACTCTGACTAATTTAACTGAATTATCTTTGTTTAGTGTTCTTTTCTCATGGATTTATGGCATAAATAAATATAAGTGGCGAGAAAAGACGTACACCATGTTTGGTAAATGGCTGTTAACTGATAGCTTGTTAGCTATTAGTTGATTGTGTTAATTAGAAAATATAACTAATTGATAACATTAGTTGATTGTAGAAAAGTGTTTGGTAAATTAGCTGTTAGTTGATAGCTGTTTGGTATAATTTCTTATCTCAAAAAGCTAATTGAAAAAGTTGCTTGGAGTAATTTTTGAGTTTTAGCATTTTAGAGTTGCAAAAAGCTAATTAGCCAAACACTTGTATCAATATTTTAACAAAATCAAACAATTAATAGTGATTGTATTTTATGTCGTGAGATGTGTGTTGTGTTATATAATTCTATATTTGACTTCTTTCATCATCATCGTCATCATTATTACTATTATTATTATTATTGTTATGTAGGACAAGGGAAAAGGCAAGCAAGATTCCAACGCAAGTGATTGTAAGTCAATACGCCGCAATATTACAGGTTCAACGGACTTAAGTGATTGTAAGTCAATACGCCGCAATATTCCAGGTTCAACAGACTCAAGTGATTGTAAGTCAATACGCCGCAATATTCCAGGTTCAGCGGACTCAAGTGATTATAAGTCAATACGCCGCAATATTCCAAGTTCAACGGACTCAAGTGATTATAAGTCAATACGCCGCAATATTCCAAGTTCAACGGACTCAAGTGATTGTAAGTCAATACGCCGCAATATTCCAGGTTCAACGGACTCAAGTGATTGTAAGTCAATACGCCGCAATATTCCAGGTTCAATAGACTCAAGTGATTGTAAGTCAATACGTCGCAATATTCCAGGTTCAACAGACTCAAGTGATTGTAAGTCAATACGCCGCAATATTCCAAGTTCAACGGACTCAAGTGATTGTAAGTCAATACGCCGCAATATTCCAGGTTCAACGGACTCAAGTGATTGTAAGTCAATACGCCGCAATATTCCAGGTTCAACAGACTCAAGTGATTGTAAGTCAATACGCCGCAATATTCCAGGTTCAACGGACTCAAGTGATTATAAGTCAATACGCAGCAGTATTCCAGGTTCAACAGACTCCAGTGATTATAATAAGTCAATACGTCGCAATATTCCAAGTTCAACGGACTCCAGTGATTATAATAAGTCAATACGCCGCAATATTCCAAGTTCAACAGACTCAAATGATTGTAAGTCAATACGCTGCAATATTCCAGGCTCAACGGACTCAAGTCATTCCAAATCAATAATTCCACTTCCAAATTTAAGAGACTCAAGTGAGTCCAACTCAATCCGCCATTCGGTAAGTTACTCTATCTTCAATTCTAACCATTAGACACAATATAATTCAGTAGTTGCATGCACGCATCATGCATATCACAGAAACTAACACTCCTCCCCCAACTCCCCTATTTTGTGGTGTAAGTTGAGGAAGATTATGATAGATAAAGAAGGTATAGAGAAGTTGGCATATATCGCACAGGCTCACTACAACGCGGCCCCTGAGAAAATCAGGAACTCCGCAGATAAGTTCTTCTGGAGTATGGTGAAGCAGAAAGGAGAAACCAGGGTAGCCATGGAAGATTTCTTGGAATCCATGAAAGAAAAGGGGTATCCAGAATATGCCCACCCGGAGCTTTTCAAAATGGTAGTGAAAGATAGAAATGTGGGTATGAGTATCACGGAATCCCGGACAGTATACTACATTGTTGTGAGTGGAAGGCCATTCTGCAGCTGGTGTAATTGCTTCATCCCTGACCTATATTTCTGCTGCTCTAAATGCTCCGCCCGCTCTTACGCTCTGTGCCTCCATTGTTACTCCAACAAAGCTTATGTTAACCATGGGCACTCTAAGGACGATGATGTCTTCTTCTTGGATCACTCTGTACTGCACACCACCATCAGCGTTACCTCTCCGGAGGGAAGCGGATCCTCCAAGGCAATTGTGGAAATGGTAAGTCACACAAATTTACTAATTGCACATATAAAACAATGTTAATCAGGCCGCACTACCGGAAATTATGAAATTTTCGAACACTTGAAAGTGATCTTAAATCAAATTAAAAGCAAAAAGTGGTCAGAAATAGCTATAAAGGTTTTTCTGGACACCAGAAGTGGTCTGAACAAGACTTTCAACTTGATTTAAGATCATTTTCAGGTGGTCGAAAATTCCATAATTTTCAGCAATGAGGCCAGGTCTGTGGACTTATTGGTAATTTATATGTTCCAGGGTCCTGGATCAAAAGGTATAGAATTCATACCGGAAAACAAAAAATTACAATACAAGACACATACACATATTATATATTTACTTATTTTTCAAATATGATTAAAGTGCATAATTTGATTAATTTCACCAACACAGGACAAAGAAATTTATAACAGAATTACTAATTTATTTCAAGAACAGAATTACATAACACAAAGACACAAAAACTCATAACATAAAATACATATACATACACTAGGGTCCACATTACATTCAGAACCCTAGTCCATGATATAAGGATTGAAGCTTATTAGTTCAGATATATAATGAAGGGTTTTGGCGAGCCGAGCCAACAGGGCCAACCTGGTATGAGTAAATTACTAACATTATTTTATATATACACACACACAAGTTTATAGAAATATATATATATATATATATATATATATATATATATATATATATATATATATATAGGGTAGGGTTCCAGTAAGAACATGTGCTTAGGTGAGAACGTGAGAACATGAGAACACATCATCTGCATCCATCTAATATTTTTTAATGGTCTAAATTAGATTAAGTATGTGCGAATGCGCATTAAATGTGTGCAAACACACTAAATCTTACCCGCCAAATTGGTAAGATTTTTAGTCATTTTCACATGTCTGTTTTTATATATGGTTCTAAGGTGACCAGTTTAAATCAAGAATGTCAATAAGTAGTTTTCAGAGAGTCAAATTTATGACATTATGATTTCAAAGTGAATAGCTTGAGCCACTCGGTGTTTGTTGTTTTGTTTGTTTACTTGTTAAAGTTAAATGAAGGCTTAATTATTGTGGTGTAGAATCCGCGTGATGATAAAGTGGCGGCTGTAGTGAAAGTAGGACAGGCAATACTCAACGCCGGCGCCGCGGTTCTGTCAATTGCCAGTACTCTTGGTTGCACCATCATGTAATGATCAAACAAGTATATATGCATGTTGGCCGAGTTGAATCTGAGCTTATTGAACGTAATTGGAAGGTCACCTATTGATTTGATACCAAATTGGTGAACAATTTTTCGTTTTAAATAAATTGAAGTTCAATTTTTTGAACCACTTGAAAGTTTCTGTTCAAATGCATTATTACTAGCTTGCGTTTTGGGTATTGAATTGTACTGTGATTGTGTTATATTTGGTCACGGCTGGTCGGTTGCAGATGGCGGCATATCTTCCAATCTTGAAGATTCAATTACTTGTTTGAGAAACAAATTAAATAGAGATTATAAAGAGAGATTGATGGTTGTAATTGGTATATTCATCTAGTTAATTCATGTATAAATTTTTTATTTTTTCTCTGATTGTGTTTCATAAAACAAGTCCAAGTCTAACTTAAAAGGTCATCAATGACATGTACGAGATCGAGATCTTCATTTTATTTACTTATTACCTCATCGATCAAGTTCTCTCATTGACCCTTCAGGTTTTTAGTGAGATCTGAACCCCACACCAGGCCTTGCCCTCGGAGAAACGGAATTATTTGTGTACACCAGAAGAGGAAGTTGCGTGCGGTGAGTTTAATGGACACAAAGTGATGTGCCATGGATAGGGAATTAGGGGTGGACGGCGACGGCACGGTGGCAGCGGTCACCGTGCGTTCGCTTGAGTTTGTCGACATAATTTTGAAGAGAGGAGAGAGAAAAATTACCTATCGCTAACTGATACCAGATGAATGAATAATTCTCGTATTCAAAATCACAGTGAGAAACACAGAGTTACAAAAGGAATAAAAGACTTCCCTAACTAATCTAACCTCTCCTATATAATGTGACAAAATATAACATCATATCACTAATAACTCCAACCCTCCAGGCTCGTTGTGAAATTAAAATCTCCACCATTGCATGCCGTTAGAATAATATATAAGGTTGTAGGGTGATTAGTCGATCAAATTGCAGGACAAAATCTCCATTTTATAGCTAGGTAAAACCTCAATCTACTTCCATTGCTGATCTTGGATGATCCAGTCCCCTACAGCTACCAAATTTTACAAGTATTATTAGTTTTAACTTTTAACGCTACCATCTACGTTTAACTTAATAAAAGAAGACCTTGGTTTCTAACAAACAAGCAAAATAAATATGATTTGATATGGACAAGGGAATATACATTATTGATGTTAGGCCAACTATCAATTTTGGAATGATAATTTTTTTTTTTTTTTTTTTTTTTTGAGTTTGTGTATATAACTGTATATATACACACACACTTTATTATATTATTAGAATAAATAATAAGTTAAAGATTTGGGAGAAGAATAAGTTAAAGATGTAATTATGTGATATTGGCTAAATATTTTAAATAACAAATATTAGGTAGATGATTGGAATGTCAAGTCCATTACTCTATTAGCTTGTTATTCAAATATGAGCACACAATATTTGACATTGCTTATTATTGAAATAGGTCGGAAAATTTTTATTATCTATTTTTATTAATAATATATATCAAAATATAGTAACATGAATAAAAATGCATGATATATATACGAAACAAATATGATATATTAATAAATTAATAACATAATTACCCAATGCATGATATTATTAGTTGAAATAAAGCTCGAACTCTTTTATGTGAATCAAAATCCAATTTGCTTTTTGCAAACATTACCAACCCTACGGGACTGAACATTTGTCCTTTGTAATCACGAAAAAATCAATGTTTATTTTGAGTTGAGTTAAGCTCCAGTGGACTTCATCAACAGTTAATTTAATAATTATAAAATTTTATAATAATTATTTAGGTGTTCTTAATTTAAATTGATAAATTATGAACAATTAAAATTAATTTATCTAATTAGGATAATTTACCAACTAAGGTTACAAGGTGACTTTCACTCAGAAAGCACACTTTTAAATAGTGTAATTGTGAAGTTTATTGTAAAATAGGTATAATTAAGTGTACAATACACCAACTTAGGGATGAAATTTGGCATACAAAAAGGACTAAATTTGTAACAATAAGGGACGAAAAGTGAGTGTAACTAACAAATATGAATAAATTCTACAATTATCCTATAATTTAGAGACTAAAAGTACAAATTTTACATTCACTTAATATATAACACGACCATTTTGTATGTTTCAATCTGGAAAAATAAAAGATTGCTTGGACAACACTTCAACTAGCAGTCGGTGCGTGTACTGTAAGGCAATTTATATGATGGACAGAGAGATTTTTATAATGGTTCGGCCAACTGTGCTTACTCCACTCTTCTTTCACAACTTGTGAAAGGGTTTGCACTATCACTCCTAGTACAAACTACTTCAAGCTGGCTTCCTTGGTCACTAAGCCGGACAGTCACTTGAAAGGTTTTTCAACTCCTAGAGTTTACTCCGCCTCTATCAACTTCTTCCTGAGCTGAGATGTTGGAAAAATAATCTGATGATTCTCCAACAGGGTGAAGCTTGTCTTGATGTCTGGATTGATCTTCACTTGAGGAAAATACAAGACTGCTTCAAGTTGTAAAGTATGAGGATGAATATGCCTTTGAAAAACTTCACAACAAACACTGGTTATGAAAATCTAAGAAGATGTAACTGCTTTGAAGAGCTTTTCTTAAGATTGCAAGAGTGAGTTAACCAGCACCTTCTTCAATTGTGAACAGAGGTATATATTTATCAGTCAACTTTCCAAATCTTCTCTAATGCTTGTTCACTTGTTGTGGTCATCCCTTGAGTCGTTAGAGATAATCAAGGGAGAAAAAAAAAAAAAAAAAAAAAAAAAGAAGCAAAATAACATCAATAATGCGAGTATGCGATCACCTAAATCCAGTCACGTGATTTAATGTGTTCATCCCTTGAGCTGTTCAAGTCTTCTCTAATGTTATGACAAATACATCAATTTTGGAATGATATCATTGATTGAAATAAAGCTCCTTTATCTGAACCAAAATCCAATTTGCTTTTTGCAAGCATTTCAAAACCTAGTCCAGTGACACATTAATCAATTTCATGTTGACTTAAGCTCCAGTGGAGTTGGTCCACACTCCGCAGACTCTAAGTTTAATAATAATTATTTATTTGACT